TGCGGCCCTTTCCGGGACCTTGCGTGAACGCCGGATGCTTCGTGCACCGGGTTGCCCTTTTTTTAAGTATCTATTTGATCAAAGCTCTAGATGCAAAACCAATCTGCAGTGCCTACTATTGAGGTTTGTAAGTTTTACTAAGCATTCTTTGAAATACAAAATAGCAAGAGTTTAAAGGGGTAGAAAAGCATATAATTAGATGATCATGTGATTTTCCTGAGTAGATGAAGCAATGAATGATTCCCTTCTCTCAAATTTTTGTGTCGCTGTTTTAGTATTTTTTCTGGTTAAAGTTCTCTGTTTCTTGAAATGATATTGATCTGAGGTTTTTGACATTAGGAACTAATACCATAATAATATACATGAAATGATGTGGATCTTACAGTTTGTTACATGAAGAATCTTAAAGTAATTCAATTTGGTCAAAGAAGTACTGAACAACTTATAAGTTTAATCACATTCCTTTAAGAAGTATGTTACACCTTACCACGATTTGTTCCATCGAGTCTACTTCTGTCAAATTCTCTTTTTTGTGCTCATCTCTTTACTTTCGTGCATGAAAATGGAATGAAAACTTAGATGTATGTTTTATGTTGAGGTACTAATATTGAGCCCCAGCTATATAAGTGGCCCAACCCCCTAAACTTTGTTGGATTAAATTTAAATGGAGTGACAGGTCTAAGTGTCCAACAGAAATCAATCCATCAAAAGTATTCAGTTACCACAAGTTGGCATTGGTTATTCGATAACTTGTTAGCTACTAAGCAAACTCGTTAACAAAAGAAAAATGTGTTGTTCTTCAACTGCACACAACGTCTTCTAAATAGTAGAACTTCGCAATTATTGGTGCATTGGAGTGCGGCCCTTTCCCGGACACTGCGTGAATGCGGGATACTTTGTGTACCGGGTTGCCCTTTTTTGTAATGAATTCTTTGAAGGAGAAGGAATAATATGTGACTCCCAACCATGCTTATCAATTAAGTAAATGGTACTTTATCCATTGAAATGCAGAGAGACAGCGCAGAGTAGTTACAGGCGAACAGTTAACTTTCCCATTATAAATGCTGGGAGCTGAGGAAACCTAACATGGTTCTATCTCGTAAACATTCTTCATGTCACACCAAAATCCAAAAACTACAAACACTTAAGTTTCTAAATACAAGCAGGTTGCACTTGCGCTCCAAACACCTCTAATTCCTTTCCAGTTGAGCCAAAATCTTCTATCCTCATTGTCGAGCTTATTCCAGTCTGGCTCCAAAACAAACCATTTAATTTCCTCGGCATAACCCAGCTGCGGCACACATTTACTAACACGCTCCTGACCTGTTTAGCAATCTGACAGTGCAATAGGAGGTGGCTGAACTTATAGCATATGTTTAGAAGATCCTATTAGGCTTCATGAGTTTCAACTCTGTGCCATGATTCTAATTACTTTAAGATGCAAACAAATAGGTAAAAGCATTGACTGCTATAAGGTTCCAAGTCCATGTAAATGACTCCATTACATCCTATTAAGAACAAATTCCGTCTTTCTTTTCTTGCAGTTTGTTTTGAGTCAGTCAGCCGTGACCTAGAACGATAAAATTGGAAATGTATCTTGATCTTAGAAATGTTAACAGCCAAGAACACTGTATACATGGTATTCAGTCTTTTGAAGGAAGTATCATGGAGTTTGACATATATTTTGTTACTTAAGTTTTTACTTGATAAGGAGACATCTATATTGACTAAAAGAATTCAGTGAAAAAAAATGACTGAATATCTTCTGTGTCAAATTATTTCATTGGTATATTTGCAATTTTTTTCTGTTCTTTCTATCAAAGTACAGCTTTTTCAATGATTCCAGGTTCTCTTGGAGTTGTCTCCATGCTGTTTTTATCATTGCACAAGAACTTGCATATTGTGTTTGCACTACTCTCCTTGACCGCAGGAAGTGCTGGGGTTGCAATTGCGGACGTGACAGTTGATGCATGCGTTGCACAAAACAGTGGTTCTCATCCTTCCCTCGCAGCTGATATGCAAAGCTTATGTTCCTTGAGTTCCTCAATTGGTGCTCTAGTCGGATTTTCTTTAAGTGGTACCTTAGTTCACTTACTTGGCCCTCTGGTTAGCTTTCTATCCATAATTTAAACAACTTACTATATTCTCATTAAAGTCTAGCGAATATTCAAATATAGTAAGATTACTTCTGAATCCTTTTCTCTTAATAAAAGGGGGTGTATGGCTTATTATCCATACCAGCTGTGCTTGTGTTTTTGGTCGGAGTTTTGCTCAAGGAACCTCAAACATACAACTTTGCTTATCAACAGGTACCTACACCTCATCTGACTACTTTTAGTGAATAGGTCAGTCTCTAAAATCCTAAGGGCTTTTTTTCTTTTTATCCTGCCAGCCCAAAATAATTACAGGCGGTAGCCCAAATATACAACACATACACTGATTATGTATAATATGTATATTTATGCTTAATATACAAAACATATATACTTTACCGGCTATTATTGTTTTTGGTGCCCAAAAATGTAATTATCCCAAATCCTAATGCATCCTCAGGTAAACCAGAACTTCACTGATGCTGCCAAGGCTATGTGGAAAACTTTGAAATGCCCGGAAGTTTGGCGACCATGTCTTTATATGTACTTGTCCTTTGCACTGAGTTTAGATATCCAGGAAGGAATGTTCTACTGGGCAACAGATTCAGATGGAGGACCACATTTTTCGAAGGTGGAATAACTGCTAGACATGTTACGTTCCAATTAAGCCAAGTACATAGTAGAATCATAAATTCCTTAAACTTACTGTTAATTAAAGGAAACTAATACACTATCTGTCTCAATTTATATGTCATACTTCCCTTTTAGTCTATCCCAAAAAAAATATTATACTTCCTTGTTTAGGAACAATTTAGCTTTAAACTTTCTATTTTACCCTTAATGAATTGATTTAAAGTCATTCAAATCTTTGATTTGTTTTAGACCACAAGTTTCAAAATCTTCTTTTCTTTCTTAAACTCCGTGCCGAGTCAAACACTGTACATAAATTGGGATGGAGGAAGTAACTCATTTCCAAAATATCCAACATGTAGGCTTTAATTAGAGTGGGGAGACGTCACACGAGAGGTTCTGCTGTTACTTAGAGTATCCTCTCTCTATCTAACAATACCAGATTAATGATATGATGACAAAAACAAATAAGGGATGATTAGACTAGGATTAATTATTTGTACTCTTTTGGGGATAACAATGGAAATGTAATTCTGTAAACAATTTACTCCTGCAGGAAAGTATCGGATATATATCAGCAGTAGGCTCCGTTGGATCGCTATTGGTGACTATACTGTACCAATATGGATTGAAAGACTATTGTTTCCGAGACCTGCTCTTTTGGACTCAGTTACTGCATGGTCTGTCAGGAATGCTAGACTTGCTGCTGGTTTTACGTTTAAATTTGAAATTTGGCATTCCCGATTATTTCTTCGTGGTGATAGACGCAAGTGTATCTCAAATGATTGGACGACTAAAGTGGATGCCGCTTCTTGTTCTGAGTTCTAAGCTCTGTCCTCCTGGCATTGAAGGCACATTTTTCGCCTTGCTCATGTCAATCGACAATACTGGACTTCTTACGTCAAGATGGGGAGGTGGATTGTTGCTTCATGTCTTTAAAGTTACAAGGACACAGTTTGATAATCTCTGGCTCGCCATCTTGATAAGGAACATTTTGAGAATCACTCCACTTTTTGTACTGTTTTTGGTTCCAAGAAGCGATCCTAACTCCTCTATCCTTCCTGATGAAGTGTCGGATTCAAAAGAAAACATTGAAACTCCAGCAACTGAGAATGAAAATATTGAACTTGTCGCGCTGATTCACAACATGGATGCTAGATAGCGGATTATACACGTTTTATGGAAGTAACACCATACTTATAGAGATAGTTACGAGGTACAAGTTTTAGACACCACCTATTATTTCTTTTTAGATAGTAAAAGTTGTTGGATAGAAGATTCATTTTTCTGTATCTTTTTGAGTTTTTGTCACATAGATAACAAATGTGAACATGGAAACTACAGTCTGAAAACATGTAAAACACGTATCTCTTGTGGATCGTATATGGACATTGTGATTCACACGTTCAGCTTGTGATTTTTCATTTAAGGCTCAATTTTCTGTATATTGGATGTTATTGTTATCATATTTGTAAATTCTTGTTTAGAGCTTGAAACTGCAGAAATGGATTGTGCTATATGAAACCTCAGAGATGCTTTTTTGCAACTATATTTAACTTCTCAGGAGTTTTTACAGTTTCTTATTTTGTTGTTCCTTTTTTTTTTTTTTTAATTTAAATTTTATGTTCTGAATGCCTTTTCAAGAACTCCCCCTAAGTTGTTTGGAACCCACAGGAAAAAGGAAAGGAAAAGAAGAGGAAAGAATGAAAAGTATACTTCTTTTTTGTTGGTTAAGAGGGGAAAGAGAACAGTATTTTCCCTGTAATAAACGGTTAATAGTGATGATTTTCTTTTTTTACTTAGGCATTCGAGATCTCGACTAATTCGGACTCGCGTTGGTAGGTCTGCTAAGGGGTAAGACGCTTCCTACCAAGAAAGTTTTCATTCCAAAGACTCGAATCCAAGACCTCTACTTGAAGGTGGAGGGATCCGAACTATCCTACTACACTTGGTGGGTTAAAAAAAATAAAGATTTGATTTATCTCATATTTTCTTGATTTTCTCTAGTTTCACTTCCTTTTCCTTAGTTTCCAAAAAAGTGTTGTTAGAAATAGATATAAACAGCTTTTTCTCCTGTATTAATGTGAACCTCACCTGCCTTTTTGGCCCTTTTACATGATCATCATTATTCCCCTGACCAATTCCCTCTTATCTAAGACACTTACCTCTTTTAATGTATTCATCACCTTCTTGCTTCATAACTAACTACCCAAAAAAAGAAACTGGCCAACTTTATCCTAGTTATTCATATACCATATTTCTTTAAAAAGGGGCTTCGTATAAGCATTATTACCAATTTTTATTTGCTTCAATCAAATCTCTTTACTTTTATTCATGACTTGGAAATTTATGTTAGTTTTAGCATGGCTAAGTACACTAATTTGTTTATCAACTGCTTCGAGTAAGGGAGGAGAAAGTTATGTTCGCGATGCATGCAGTGTGACTCGATACCAGGACCTCTGCATGCGTTTGCTAGCATCATTCTCGAGCACGGCCAAGAACAACCCTAGCAAGTGGGCCCGGGCCGGGGTCTCGGTGACAATAAGCCAAGCTAAAGGTGTCACTCAATCCCTATTGAAATTGAAGAAACACAATTCCTTGAAAGGGAGAGGAAGAGTTGCTCTTTTGGATTGTGCTGAATGTTTGCAAGATGCACTTGACAATCTTCACAACTCACTTGGTGTGCTAAGGAAACTTAGCAGCCAAACTTTTAATGACCAAATGGGAGATGTGACTACTTGGCTAAGTGCTGCACTTACTGATGAAGATACTTGTTTAGATGGATTTGAAGACCAAAGGAGGAGAAAACAAGTTAAGTTACTCTTAAATAGAGTCACAAATGTGAGTTACATGACCAGTAATGCACTTGCTTTGGTTAACAAGCTTGCAACAACTGGACCAGAATGCTTAGAAAATTCATAGAAGAAATTAGAGATTTTTCTTACATCTGGTAAACAATTACTTCCTTATATGTAATACCAACCATATCAATATTTTTGGGTCAATTTTACTTTTTTATTCCCCTTAAGCCGAGGGTCTATTGGAAACAGTCTCTCTACCTTCACTAGGTAGGGATAAGGTCTACGTATACGCTACCCTTCCTAGACCCCACTTATGTTAATGTTGTTGGTCAATTTTACTTTTTTATTCACTGAAGATATTTTCTCCTCTAATTGAAAGTGCATTATAGTTCAACATGACAGTGTCGCATAAGAGTTGAAGTTGGTATTTATACTTTAACTTGAGTTTACACGTTGGAGAAAGAAGCGTATTTTACAATGAAATAAATGTTATTTGAAAATGACAAGTAAAACAAGTAGACACATCATCCTTCTTAGAAAATCACATTCATGGATGTCTTCACAACAAGTAATATCCTTTTTTTTTAAAGGCAAAATACATAAGTTACCATCTGAACTATGGACCAAATCTCTGTTACACACTTTCTGGTAATGAAAATCATCTTACACACTCAACCTTTCAAAAGTGTAGCTAAGATACACTACTTTTGATAGCTGGCGCGCGCGTGTTTTACACAAAAAAAGAGGCGCGTGAATATAAAACTTTCGGGTCTAAACCATTATCTAAATGCAACATGTCCCCGGCCTTTATTAATTTTTTTTCTTTTCTATTTTTAGTTATTTCATCTCCAAATAATTTGGTCTCTTTTCCACACCCCCACCTCACACCCCACCCGTTTTCGTTTTCCCTTGGACATCTACTTTGTCTTCTCCATAGATTAAACTCTGAAACACAAAAAATAGTTTTAGAGCTAGGTCCAAGTTCCAAATTAATTAGTCATCTCCTTCAAGTTTAAATATTTTTAGATCTGCTAATGAAATCAGTGACTGATTTCTCCACTTGTTTTCATAACTTTATTTTTAGATCTGCTGATTCTTTTTTTGACTTCAAAAATTTAATTTTTTTTGAATGAGTGTGAAGGAGTTTATAGTGTTTGCAGGTTTTGCTCTAAAAATTAATGGCGTTAGTGGTGGCTGTCATGGCCAACACTTAAAGCACCATCATTTTTTACTTTTTTTTTTCCTTTTCCGCCAACGAAGTGCCATGCTGAATAATAAGATCGTTTGTTGAACTCATGAAAGGGTGTTCATTTTTGTGCATTTTCAACTTGAAATAGATTCTTTCTGATGGGTATTTCCATGGCTGTTGGAGTTTAGAGGAGTAATTCAACGGATGTGGGGGCTTGAAGAAGATGAGAGACGTGGGGGAGGGACGGGGGGTTATTTTTCGTTTTTTCTTGTTTTCTTTTAAATATATCAATTATGATGTAAATTTAGTATTTTTCTTTTTTGTTCCTTGAGTTAGGACATTGTCACGACTTTATTGGTGCATGACATTACACATATTTTAAAAAAGTGGTGCGTCTTAACTACACTTTAGAAAAGTTAAGTGTGTAAGGTAATTTTTGTCCGTAAAAAATGTGTAATAAGGATTTGGTCCATAATTCAGGGGGTAACTTATGTATTTTGCCTTTTTTAAAAGTAATATCCATTCATATTTCAACTTTGACGTAGTTATTGTCTAAACACTAGCAAGAAATACATGGTTTTGAAGGAGGGCATTACAAATTAAACAAAAACAAAAATAAAAACGATATAGAAACAACCAAAGAATTCATATACCATCAATGAGTGATTTGATGATGAAATTCCTAAACCCTTAATCAGAGATCTCGGTTTCAAGCCTCGGGAATGGCACAAACTCCTAGTAGGAAGAAACTACTCAAGACAGCATTTCAGATTAAGGATGCATAAAGTAAAGCAAAAAACAACGAGTTGGGCAACAAAACCTATCCAACTCAGACCACTTTTGGGCTTCCTTTCCTTAATAAGGTGTCTATGTCCAACCAAGACTTGCTCATGCCCACCTATTTGATCAAGTATATACTATATTTACAAGAAACCACACTCATTTATCATAGATAAACTTGTATATATATCCACTATAAGTAGCTGAAAAGTACAGGAAGTTTCATAAAATCACTATCACGTTCAAAATGCTCGTACAATTTACGGAACTATGCAAATTATACATCCACGATTCAAATTGCAAGGCCACTACAGCGTGCTGTTCCGACAACAGTTGGTTTCCAGTTGAACTTTTGCAAATAGGATTTGGATTTCAGGGAAAAGAAGCATATCATACATAGTGTTCCCATTGTAAGAGATTCTTACTCCAGACTCTGACCCTCCAGTTCATGGCCTTTTCTTCATAAAAGGCAATAGGAAATTAACTGAATATGGTAGATAGAAACTAGCCTCTAAAACAATAGTCAATGTGATGCCAGCCTTTTCAGGTGTTGCAATGTTTTCTGTTTTATCCATTGTCGGTCATAGGGCAGGTAAGCCTGGAGTGAGTGATCATACCTGCAAGTCATAAAAGAATGCTGGAATTAATTACATTTCAACAGCGTAGTGAGTGCTAAGAATCGTGTCTAAGTATGATGGACCACGGGCCAATCATTTGATGTGCACATAGCAGTTCATCCGGTTAATAAACAGAAGTACAGATACCCGAGATGTCTAAAGAAAACATGCTTATGACATCTGTGTGTGTTTCAAAATCACTGAGATGAACAGAAAATTTTGGTGCAGAAAAGAGGTAGGCATGCATCGACCTGCTCTCACGGAGCCACATTTACATGTTCATATATGCTTTTGCTGTGTAAATAACACAATATGCAACACTTGTATATTTCTCTGGTATGGGATTCTATTCAGAGGTACAAGAGTGGGATCTGTGTGTGTTTGGGGGAGGGGGGGGGGGGGGGGGGGGGGGAGCGAGAGAGAGAGAGAGAGAGAGAGAGGTACACTAGTGCACTCATATCGGCAAGGCCATCTATGAAATTGTAAAGATCTGAAATATCATAAGTAATTTCTCTGATGGCTGGGTTCAATTCCTTGAGTTTCCTCTCATACAAAGCACAAATTCCTGCAGGCAAAAAACTTTGTAAAAAGGGTAATAGCAGAAGAGAAGAAAAGAAGATGAAAACTGTAACTTAATTTACATGCAGATAGTAACAAATTTAGCCAAAAAAAAAAAAACTTGTTTCCCCTGAAGATTTTCTCCCTTCATCTATAACCACAACAATCATTCATGTGCCTCCATTTTCCAAGCCAAGGAAGGACAATTAGGAGCAAGAAAGAAAAACACGTTCCACCGACACCCCTTACCCTTCTTATAAATCATATAAATTCCAGAAAGGATGAGAATTTGAGAAATATGCAAGTAAAACATTACTAACAAGATTCTCTCCCTTCGAATAATACCATCCCATTCTCCTACCCCATCAAATAATATCATTTTTTTATAAGGTAAATTGTATTAATCAAAAGGGAGAAAACTCCCGTATACAAGAAGTATACCAAAAAGTAGAGAATTTACATCACCCATCAAATAATATCATCCCACTATCCTTCTTTACTTCAAATCATAGAATGCTTAAAATTTTGAGCTTTGCTTCCATCCAAACTTTTTTCAAAAGTTTTGGTTATGAAGTTGGTTTTATTGAAGTTGTTGGGAAAAATTACCCCCTCACAAAAAGTATACAGAAGTATAAGAACCTACACCTATTTCTTTACAAAATTCATACTGTAACCTACTACCTACGACATAAAATTTGAGACTTTTACTGAAAACAAGGCACCAATCACCGTCACCAACCACCAACTAAAAGTACCCACATACAATAAATGTAGGTTCTCTTTTTAGTCTGCCTCTCTAATTTTTCTCATCCCTCTAACACACCTTTCTAGTTCTCCATGATCCTAATATTCCGCAATAACAAGCCAGACTCACCTTTATCCAGACCCCTTCCCCATCTTGCCTTTATCCTTCATACTCTCTTAATTCTACCTCTAGTATACCCCCTCCTATGTCTCTCATGTAAGGTACCAGCAGCTCCTTGTGATGCCCTAGCATCCCATCACATTTGTTGTATCTCCCTCCAAAAACAGAGGAGGGTCCTCCTTAGATGCTTCTGAGATGGCCTTAAAGGCACCGACCTTGTGTAATAAAGAGGATAAACCTTGAAAAAGGGTCTGGTTGAGCTCTATTGTACTGAGAAATTACCCTACATAGACATTTCTACAACCACTTTCCTTTTTTGGGCACATTCATTACCAAGTTCACTACTTCCTCCATGCTTGAAGCACACCATAATATATCAGGTGTAGTTTCGTCCTTGCCCATCCCCTTCAATTTCATGGTCGGAGTGTTGGAACTCTAGAGTATTTGCACAATGGGTCAATTTCTTTCTCCTCTATTTACAGAAATTATCTCCCATCAATACTACCCATACCATTGTTTTGGTATGACTGTGATTCTTGACCATTTCTATCTTTCCCAATTTAACCTAGTTCTTCTGACGCGTTAATTGGGCAACATACGCATCCAGTGTGTTAGACTTACCCAACTCTAATCGGCCTGTGTTGGTTTGGGTATTTTACATCTTCATTGGATGACACTAACTCTTGCCTCCGACTTACCAGATTCATAAACCACCTTGGTTGTTTCAATCGGTTCCCTAAATTCAAGATATTTATTTGTGTTCACTAGGTACCCTAATTTCAAGATTTGTATTTGTCACTTGTCCCTGTGCTATTCTCATTTTTGAAACCTTACTTTAATGCACCGGTCTCCAGCTTACTAGTAAGGTATTCTTTTTACTACTCAAGGATGATTTCAAGATGGGCTAGATCTTAATGCAAGACAGTATTGACACACCAAGCCATAACAGTTTTTTTGACTCCACCTTGTGCCTCCCGGACCCCACATGAGCTATCAGGACCTCAGATTTTGATTTCACAAATCACGGGTACAAACATAGCACTGAGTTTTGGGTACTGCATGTTCCTGAAAATCAACTAATTTGTCACTTGCTTCATTGACTATGCAATTAGCAGAGGAACCTACTCGAATTGACTCTCGTGATAAGTAATTCTCCGATCTTCTTTTTTCATTGGTAAAAAAATAAATTTATTTATTTAATGAGCAAAAGACAATGCTGAGAGAGTTTAAAAAAAACGGAACAGTAACCTCTACAAGTTATGTAAAGCACTAATGAAGCCAATCATGGGGAAGCTCTATCCGTTTTTACGGGCTGAATGGGTTGAAGGCTTGCTTTATTAATCTCTACGCGTCAGTCATGGCCTGGATTTGGGTCGTGATATTGTTAGTGTTTTACAAGCCTTGGTGAAAGTAACCACCTATGAATGCAAAGTATCACCAATAGTGAAAAGCAAAACAATGTATTGTTAAGATTTAAGAAGACCCTACCCTCAGCATAACAATCACACTCATCCCTAGAAAGTAAGTGACTACGTCCATATAGGTTCCAGTTCCTTTCTACTATCTAATCCATCAAAGAAGTGATTCTCCAATTGCCTTGATTTCCTTTACCTGGAAGTCAAAAGATATGCGTCGTTCATAGGCTCATCCTAGTTCAGAAAAATTCCTGTACAACGTAATCTAAATGTGTGATGAACAAAATGGAAGTTCAGAACAACGTACTTGAATTAGCCAGACCAAAAATTTTTAAAATTCAATGAGAAGGCAATGGATGAGTGTTAGTCTATGTTGCTCGGACTCTCCGAAAATGTCCCCAGGTGCGTGTCAGATCCTCCAAAAGCAGTGTATTTTTGGAGGATCTGACACGGGTGCGGCAGCATTTTGGAGAGTCCGCGCAACATAGGTGTTAGTCATAGAATGCAAAGCATGTAGGATTCTAGTTAAAGATTTCAAGCAGCTGATACAAATAATGTTGATTGATAAAAAAAAGTTTGTGATCTTGACAATTTTTCCTAGGTTTGTGCATTATTTCTGGTTGACTACATTCAAAGGAAATAGCAAATATTGTCTCAAAACAATTACATAGGTAATCACAAAAGGATAAATATCAAGAGTGTATGTATTTGTAGTAGTGCTATGATACATACCGTCCATAGCTTGGCTTATTGATTCGTAATCCATGAAAGTGCGAGTTGCTCTATTCTGAGATGTTTGCATGAGAATAATAGTATGCCGGTTTGCCTGCATAACACCCAAAGAGTTGTCAAATAAATATGCAGGTAACTTTTGCCTTCATTTTGTTCTCCATGTATTTAAGTTATAAGCATCATGCCAGTGAGAACATGTTGTCCCATAGAGCATTCCTATTAGTGTTCAAGCTTTACCCCTTTTCAGAATCAGAATGCAAATACAGCTTACCTAAAAATCTGTAAGCTCGATGAAGTAGCTGTATTCTCTTTGGGGATGTCCCAAAGTCCAAAAGTGCCTTACATAACTTGGGACAGGATTTTTAGATTTTAAAATCAGAACTATGTAGATTAATTTCTCTCAACTGTTAGTAAAATGTTGTTGCAGATGTATCAGAACTTTTACCTCTAGCTAGATGCATATCGTGCGTCTTTGTAAATGTCTTTGGCACGAAAGGTAGACAAAGTGGACAAAAATGTCTATGTATGTGTTCGTTTAGACAATATTACAGATAGAGGATTGGAGACTTTGGGCACCTTAGCTTTAAAAAAAGAGTAAAAGCCATATTCGAGGATAAGAAACATAATTCACGAAGAACATCTCTTTCCACGGAAAGAACATTTTAAAAAAGAAAGTGATACAGTACGTCCCAGGATAAGGATCATAAATCACGAAGAAAATATCTTTCCACTGAAAGAACATTTCAAAGAGAAAGTGATCCAGCACAGCCCAAGCAATCATACTATAAGGTAAAGATGATAAAACAAGATGTCAAATTATAATGTTGCCCAAGAAAAACGAGACAAGACCTTATTGAAGCAGCATCAGATGGTGTAGCCATGAGAGAGCAACAGGATACCATTGCAAAAGAAACTAATACCAAGCATAGGAATCAATAAACGTCCTCAATATATAGGGCTAAGACGTTCAAAATCAGTAAAGACAGGCTTAAGTACCAAAGGCTCAGTCACAACTAGAAAAGAAGTTCTACCTACTCTAATCGTTTCATTTTATTTCAGAGTGGAACTTCCTCAAGGAAGTGTTTCTTGCACCCCAGTTCACCCCCAGAAAACAATAAACTTAATAGATAAATTAAGAAAACCAAAAGTAAAAGAGGGACAACTGATTTACTCATCAGTTCAGCATATCTGCTTTTACAATATGTCAACCACCACATGACAACGCAACAATTACAGACACATATCATCAGTGGGATATACTTAGCACAAAACTGCTCCCTTAACCATCAATTTTGCTACCATAGAATTCCTAGAGGGCACAACCTATTCTAGTGTAACTATCCAATAGAAATATACTATCTTTATTGCAACATTATTACAATGATCATCCCCAAGGGAGGGGGGATAGTATGCATAATAAGAAGCTTATTTTCATTCATTTTTTAAAACAAAGGTGATGTTTGGGCCAGATTGAGTGCACACAATATAGGTGTCGGGTAAAATTGTCTACCAAAACCAAAGCTAATTATCTCAAACTGAGTGTTGTAGCTGGGCTAAAAACTGAGATTTACAGAATGTCACTCATATGCCTCAATCACTCAACCATACCCTTGCAGCCGAAATTGTTGTCTCTATTCATTCTGAAGTGTTCAACTATTTTATACTTTCAAGAAAATTTATGATTGCATATAATCGTTGAAAACCGAAGCTTAATTCACCGGAAATGTCTCACATAGTTCCATCAACTATTAACTACCTCATTTACTCCAAGAAACATAAAGGATAAAAGGCACTCCAACGCCAAAACACACAACTGAACTAAGTAGTGCATGCTTCAAATCTTTGTTTTTTTGTTGTTGTGGTAACCGAGAAAGCCTCGAGGGCCAATAGCAGACGATTCGAAACTCAATGAATAATGGGCCAGCCCCTCTACCCATCTCCATTCAAATACCAGGCTTTTGTCTACGGCAGCGTTCGAACCCGTGAGGAGTACTTAGCCTNTCCCACAAACAACCCACAAAATAATTTTAATAATGAAGCTAAACAAAGATGAGATTAAATCTATAGCCTAGTGGTTGAAGTTTTAGGTTACACTCAAGTCATATTGGTTCAAATCTCACCAATATCATTCCCGTCCCACCCCGCCAAAAGAAAAAAGTAACCAAAAAAAAAAAGATAACGTAACCAGTAGCTTTGTAATCATTTATCAGTTTAAATTAAGATAGAGGGCTAATTAGTTAAAGGCTTTAAGCCAGCTGAAAGCATAATCATCTCAGCAAACAGAAGACAAAAAGTAGAGGGTAAAAACAAATAATCTACACAAAAAATTTCAACTTTAACATGAAAACACCGCCAATTTCTATTTTGCACTCCTATGGCATTAAAAATGACCTAAATACACCCAAATTGAAGAAAGAAAGAAAACAGAACCCTAACAATCACATGATATACAATCAAAGTAGCACGAAAATAATGTTTGAATTGGAAAAATGATATTTACCATTACGAATGAAGAACGACGAGGCTTGTATTTTGATGAGTTTGCAAACAGAGAAAACGAAAAAGCCGCAGGAATAAAGGAAGGGGAAAATCTGAGGGCTGCTTTGATAGTCGCGTTTAGCATACACAATTTGTTGACAGAGTCATGTCTTTGTCCCCAATTTGTGTGAATTTGAATATTATTTTTTTTAAAGTTCTTTTTCGGCTAGAATTTACATGTTTAATGTAGGAGTTTAGACATAAATTCCAAGTTTTTTTTTTTGAAATTTGGAGTTTCATCCCGAGCCTATCGAAAATTGTACATTTATAAAGTAGGGGTAAGGTCAGCATACACACTACGCTCTTCAAACTACACTTATAGGATTGAAGTGGGTTTGTTGTTGTTGTTATTGTTGTTGTTGTTGTTGTTGTCGTCCGAGTTTCACTAAAGTTTGATTTGAAGATAAATATGTGTTTGGTTATAATTTTTACAACTTGGATGTACTTTTTCCCAAAATCATGCAACATAATTTATACCCAACAATTTGTAAAAACTATCAACATCACTCTAACTTAGTTATCCTACCTTAAACAAATAATTAAACATGCTTAATGCTTAACTATATTCGTATTTTTTTAGTAGAAATGATAGTGAAAGTCGATGAAATTGATTTTTTTGAAGATGAAGAAAATTTGATAATCACAATGTAGAATTTTGTTGGCGAAGTTTTCTTCGTCTCATTACCTTGATCTTCTTGTTCTTTTTTTTTAAGTTATAGTTTCTCTTAATTATAGGCAATAACAAAGGGAAATGAGTGTTTGATAGTTGGCGGGGTATTTAATTCTAATGGATAGATGGGGTCCTTTTATAAATTCTACAAACTTGGGGCAAATGTTTAAAATCAAAAAGAATTTCAAGTTATAGATTCTCCGTGAAAAATTGGTTCAAAGAACTTTTTCAAATTTGAAAATCTATCTTCAAGTTGAATTTGAAAAATTATAAAATTTTCATAACCAAACATTGTTTTGAAAAAAATGGAAAAAGAAAAAAATAGTTATGTACAAACGAGCTGTGCAGAGAGATAAAAAGCATGGGAAAATTGCAATTACAAAAACTTGTTTTAACGTATGAAATTATTGGTATTCATCTAAATAGTCGAAATGCATATAGATTGATGAGACACTATATTATTAGAAAAACCAACCTTGGATGAAAAATATATATGAGAAATTATTGAAATTCTTTTTTCTGTACTTATATAATTCAAAAATATTAAATGATGTATCCTTTAATTTATGTTTTTCCATTAATTTTACATCAAAGTGAGCTAAGGGGCTATTTGGTTTACCAACTAGCTATGCAAAATCTGCTTATATTGCAGATAATAACAAAATATTATTATACAGTAATTAATAATATAGAGATTATTATATGCGTATATGTTACATTAAAAATTTTTTAGTCCTGAGAAGTGATTTGGTTTGGCGACAAGTTATGAAAGATTAGTAAGGTAGGAATTGTAATGTAGAGATTAGTAATGCAAATATCATAAGCAAGTCTTTGTACCTATTTATTGTGAATGTTTAGTTTGATATATTACAAATTAACATACAATAAAACTGATGTCAAAAAGGTGAGCAATAGGAAAATACATTATAAAACAAAGAAATATGTTGTTTGGTGTAAAGTATAATTGACTCTTTTATTTTTTTTAAACATACTATGCTTCTCCACTAATCAACAACTAGCATTATTACGTCTCAATTCCAATAAATAGTTAGGATTCATCACATGAATTTTTATTGTCCATTTTAGCTCCGTTTAATTAATCCCTTCTTAATTAGTCTAATATTTTTGTTAAAATAATATATTTTATAAAGAAGAAATGAAAAAAGGACTTACAACTTGTACAGCGCAAAAGTACAAGGAAACTTCTCCAAATAATTCAAACTTCTGCTTTCTCCTTTAAGCAGTGGCGGGGCAGGATTTCCGCAAAAGGAGTTCAAAAACAAAAGAAAAAGTTAAAAAATTAAAAGAGACCGTTGTCAGTAGGAATTGAGTCAACGACCTTACAAAGGTTTTGAACCATCTTAACCACTAAGCTATGCTTTTGGGTTGTGTCAAGAAATAGAAAATATAAAATATAGAAGTACAAACTGAATTTTGCCGTATATATATAATGTAATTATCCAACGAAAGGGGGTCGGGTGAACACCCTTTCGGGCCCCTAAATCCGCCCCTACCTTCAAGGTCACAAGTTGGATATTGCCACCATTCATATTACTAGTATCTATAGGAGTCTGAAACTGAAATGATAGGTTTTTGGACATAAAATATGTTTATACAGTTAAAAAAAAAGTTACATTTCTAACTAAAACCAGTATAATACTGCGTTTTACTTCAACAGAAAGTTACTCGTTAAAGTAAAATGCAGTATTATACTACGTTTTACTAAAACGCATTTGTAAAACGTATTATAATACTACGTTTTACTGAAACGTAGTATTATACTACGTTTTACACTAATTTTTGGGCTCACCAATAAGTGTTTTGCGGATAACTGACATAACAATAATTCAAATACATAAAATGTAGTATTATATTGGGTTTTACATAAAAAAAATAATTCTACTCCCCAAGCTATGACTTGCCTTATTTAAAGGCGTTAGAATTTTATGAAAATCCATTCAAAACTTTCTTTCAAACTTCCGTTCATACTTCTCTTCTNCATCGAAGATGATGAAACTCTTAGAGATTTTTTGCGAATTCCGGATGAATACAGGGAATTTATTATAATAAAATTACTGAAAATGTACGTCAAGGTTGAAGACGTTCCCAATAATGAAGGTGTTCATAGTAGGGATAACCCCCAGTCATCGGGTGGTTATTCTGGAGCAGTTTTTACCGGACAGATTCCTGATGAAAGAGCTTGCCTTGATTTAAGCTTGTCACCACCGGCGAATGAGCAGCCACAAAATAATTTTTTGACTTTATATAATCCACAAGACGACTGGTAAACTTCAATTTTTCTATGCTTTAGCGATGTTTATTTTATGTTTGAATTGGATTTGTATTAACACTCATATTTTTCATAGGGGGTACCTTCCGGATATGAATTTTACAAGTTATGACCCCGCTCCTAGTTGGAATATGCGTAGTTCTGGCGTGTTGGACCACGGTGGTCCATCCGAGAGTCATCACCAACAAGAAAATATCTATCATGGAACGTCAACATAGTACGACTTGTAAGTAAAGTGATATAGCTATATGTAAATTATTTATCTAGTTTAGTAGCTTATCATTTTGTTCTTTTTGTGCAGTGAAAACGAGCAACTTGATATTCCTGACCTCACACAGTTACCCATAGACGATGTACTGACTCGTGATTTGGCAGATGCGTAGAGTCAGGAAGATGATAGTGATTATGGCAACAATGCCGATGAGTCTGGAGATGACACACCCTTCCCTGATGAGGGTGATGACGAGGAGGAAGTGGATGTCAAACCTGAGCTGACGAGGGAGCATGTTTCTCCAACTCCCATTAGACCAAGAGTGTATGAGTCCCACGTGCCGTTTCATAAGCTGAAAATTCCCTACCTTGATAATTTGCCAAGTATGCCGGACGAGGATGCCCTCACAAGGGATGATGACAAATTTCGGTCAGCAATGTGGGATGAGTCTAGACCAGCGGTGCTGGCAAAGGGCATGTATTTCCCCGATAAAGCTCGCTTAATCAGGGCTATAAAAATCTACAGTGTAAGAAAGTGCCGTGAGATGACGGTAAGGGAGTCAACTACGGAGGTGTACAAGGTTGTATGCCGTAGAGACTTTATGGGTTGTCACTGGATGTTGTGTGCCAGCAAGAAGAAATCAGGGTTATGGAAAGTGGGTAAATTTATTAGCACCCACAGATGTAAAATGGACACATTCAATGAGAATCACTTCAACCTGGATGTAGACTTGATTTCTCTTGTCTTTATTCCATATTTGAAAGTGTCCATGAGGTTCAAGATTAAAGAGTGTATTACAGTTGACCAGTAGGAGTATGGTTGTGCTATAACCAAAAGAAAGGCATATCTCGGTCGCAAACGTGCTTTTGAACTTATTTATGGCGACTGAGATAAGTCTTTTTCATCTCTGCCTAGGTACATGGCTGCACTGCAATACTTTAACCCCGGGACTGTTATTGAAAGGAGGCATGAGCGAAGTCCGGACAGACCCGAATATATTTTCAACTATGTGTTCTGGTCATTTAAACCAGCAATTGATGGTTTTGTGCATTGTTTTCCTGTAATGTTCATAGACGGTACTCATGTCTATGGAAAGTATGATATTAAGCTTTTGATTGCAGTTGCAGTAGATACCAACGGACAAATATTTCCACTAGCTTTTGCCATTTGTTCCACCGAAAGCGAAGAGACGTGGACGCTTTTTTTGAACCACTTGAAGCAACACGTTGTCAAACAGCGTTCAGGTATTTTTCTAATATCTGATTGGCATGGTGGTATTTTATGTTCTGTACGACATTTGCCTGAATGGAAGGAACCCTATGCATACCACCGTTACTGTGTGAGGCACTTGAATGCCAATTTCCAGAAGAAATATCCTGACAAGGCCTTGCATGATTTAATGTGGATGGCTGCAATTGAGCACCAGCAGTGCAAATTCATGAGGCGCATGGAAGCGATCCGGCAGTTAGATCCACGAGCCTATACTTGGCTGATGGGACATGAGCTTCACATATGAACATTGCATGATGATGGCGGCAAACGATGGGAAGCCCTGACTACAAATATGTCGGAGTCATTCAACGGCTTGTTTAAGTCTGCCCGTGGATTGCTTGTCACTGCCATGGTCCGCATGACATTCAAACAGATTGCAGAGAGGTTTGTTGAAAGGCATGGAGCTGCATCGGCATTGATGGATATGGGTGTTCAATTTATGCCAATACCGATGAGAAGATTTGAAAAGTACAGGAGGCGAGCACATTGGCATTCATTTTTACAGTACGATCACGACTAGGGTGTTTTTGAAGTTAAGACTGCTATCCGCGGACACCGGGGGAATAATCTATAGAGGGTGAATGAAGCCAACAAGTTGTGTTCATATGAAAAATGGACTATCTACCACATGCCATGCGCACATGCCTTGAAGTGCTTTCAACAAGTTGGTTTAG